TGAAAGTGGGGGTGGGGAAGGCTGGCGCGTGGGAGGAGAAGAAATGGTTGGGAGGCATTTGCCAGGGCAGGCTGTCTTCCCCCAGGCAGCCCTGTCAAGCGGCTCCGTCAACAGCGAAGAGAAGAACACAAATAAATTGGAGGTTGTGTGAGCGTCACAAGACCAGAATACAAATACACATGACATGGGGAGAAGTAAAGACAGTGCTTCTGATTCTCAAAATATGCTTTAAGTAAGGGACACCTTCTAGCCGTGACAGAGGAAAAGGAAAAAAGATAATATGCAAGAAAATCAATACGCTGGTCCAGCATCTACCATGTATTCATAATACAAACACGTAAAAGGCACCGTTGCAGGCACAGGAGGCCAGATGACGAAAGCGAAGACAGGGTGTGACAGGACAGGGGAGATGGACATCTAGAAGTGGACTTAGCATTCAGGCAACACTGAACTGTCGAACTTCCTAGAGAGAGGCGGACTTCTCTCTGGACAGATAAGGACTTAGGAGTTTTTTTCTTTATGCTCAACAAATGATAGAAACAAACTTCCCAAAGTAGCTGAACACGACAATTGTCTTTTCATTTTCTCCCAAAGAAAAATCACTTCAAGGCTTCCCAGTCAGCATCATTGCCCAGCTGCACAAGGCTGGGTTTGACCAAGCTCCCCCCTGCTGGTTTTCCACCTGGCTTGTCATTGGCTTTGAGCTGTGAGTCAGGCCTCAGTGTCTGCTCGGGCAAGTGCCTTCTGGGAAATCCTACGTCGCTGCCTCCTTCCTGCTCTGTGGCCTCACCCCACCGTATCTGATGGGAGCTCTGTCTGGACCCCGGGACTGTTCCAGAAAGGCCTGCTGCACCTCCCTGCCCATTCACACGCGCTCCCCGCTCCTCGCCTGGGAAGCCAGAACACTGTGTCTCCCTGGTGCGTCCACAACCTGCCAGCTCAGGAAATAAGACTCTTCGTCTGGCATGAGCGATCTCTCTTTCTGTCCACTGGCCGGGAGCCTTGAGTAACTGCTCTTCTAGAACGTGCTTACCCTCCACACCAGGAAGGTCCGGTGAAGAAATGTGAGCAAGGAACTGGAAGCCCTCCTACCCCTCCTAAAACCCATCCAGCCCTCTGGGAAGGCCAGGCCTTAGAGCAAATACCTCATAGAGGGAACTCGAAGGGACGCTCTCAAAAATCAAAACGATGATTGGTTTCTCAATTCTTGGCTATCTGTGACATGCAGCCAAAGTTACAAGCAGTGTTTTTAAGGTATTTTCTGTTTGAAAGATGCAGATTCTTCATACATGGGCAGCTTCATGGTGCCTGTTCTCACCAGACTCCCTAGATGTGCCAGCCCATCCCAGGATCTCAGTGGCTTCACGCTCACAGATAACCAGTAAATCCCACTCCTGGGCTCAGCCCTCCTTCCTGAGCCCGGAGCCCGCCAGGCTGAGTGTGCCTCCATGCGAGTTCGTTATTGCCCACTGCTCTTGGGTCCCTCCTCCCCGTCTCAATCAATGGCGAGAGCCCCCCCGCTGGCAGCTCAAGTCAGGAAGGCATCTGAGGACCTCTCAGCCCCCACTCCCCCCACCCCGTCTCCTTCTTCGGCCCTCATCAGTGTGGGGAGCCTCTAGACTCCGATTCCTCACTGTCACTCAAACACAGCCACTCTCCACCCGACCTGTCCCTGGGCTCAGGCACCCAGCTGTTCTCTGTGGGCAAAGTGCAGTCCTCACCGGCCTCCTCTTCCCAACACTGCCCCATCCAATCCCCTCTTCCCAGCCAGAAGCACCGTTGTAAAAGCAAAGGCGAGCAAGCCCTTAAGGTCTTCTGTTTCTCCATGCATTTGCACCTGCGGGGCTCTCTGCCCAGCATCTTCCTCTTTGTAGCCTCCATGCTTGTCCTTCAAAACCCCACCTTCCCCTCCCCTCGGTTCGTTACCCCTCTCATGGTTCTAGTACTTCCACGACGGTACACCCTACCCTCCTGTCTTTCCCCAGTGGAGTAGGAACTCCTTGGAGGCCAAAGTGTCCTTGGAGTAAGGAACTATGTTTGTCTACCTCTTAATTCCTGGAGTCACGCAGCAGCACAGGGTCTGGCTGTTTATTCTAAGTCCTCAGGAACGTGCTGCTAAGCAAGTAAGTGGAAATGCTGGAGAATGAGGTTACGTGCTCCTGTGCTGGAAACCAGCTGCTTTGGAAATGGGACATTTTCTTCAAGAAAAGGCCCCACTGAGGTTGCTAAGATGCTAGTCTGTTGGTCCTGGTTGTTGGGATGTGTGTTTTGCAAACAGGAAGAGGAAAGTCTGAGCCATTGCCAACCTGAGTACAGCAGCCTTTAGGGACAGACAGTTGGGAGGGAGTGAGGCTCCCCCGTGCACCTGCTGACGCAGACTGGCCAGGGGCACATGCGTGTGCTTAGCGATGTAACAAGCCCCGTGACATCACGGGGAGAAGCCTCCACCTGGTTTGCCACCAATACACAAAAAGTAGGTCTGTCCTTGCTCTTTCCGTCCTGGAAGATCTTAATGTGAGACTAGATAGTAGACCCCTACAGGCTTTAACAGATCCATCCTCAGTTTCCTTTTTGTTAACAAGAGCTTTTCAAAAACAACGCCACCCTGGCTTGGAAATGACAGCCACAGTACGGTGCTATGTCACTCTCACGGAGATGACATCACCTGCTGTTAGGTCATGGAGCCCATCCTAATGATGGGCAGCTCCGCAAAGAGCCAGGGCTCAAAGAATGTGTGGGGTTTTGGCTTTGTACCCTCAACTAGGAGCCTACGAGGACCCAAGCAGATGTGGATCGTGGAACCAAGGGGAGAGTAAGACAGAACTATTCCCTTCGAAGGGGAAGCGGGCAGTGTGAGCAAACAGCTCTACCACCGCCCCCCCCCCCCGCCCGCCATGGGGACAGTGTGGGTTTGAAGCTGCCATAAGGGTAGTTAGGTACAGATTATGACTATTACCGAGCCCCTTGTTTAGTGATTTGCTAGGTGAGTTACCCACCCTTTCAACAACCAGCTCTAGGAAAACTGTGCTTAGCAGAAAATGCGATTTTTTTTGTTTTACATCTTAAAGTGTAGAACTTTATCCGCATTTTAAGCTTTCCAAAAGTAAATGTGCTTATATATGCTTCAATTAGAAATGCTAAATCATAGGTTTAAAGCTCTAGCTCAGGCATTTGGCCCAGCAGGTAAGGTATCCCACGTCCCATATCCGAGCACCTGGTTCAAGTATGGGCTCCACCTCTGATCGACCTTCCTGCTGATGCATCCTGGGAATGATGGCCGAAGTTCTTGGGCGCCTGCCACCCATGCGGAAGACCCAGATGGAGTTCTAGGCTCCTGGTTTCACCCTGGCCCAGCCCTGACTATCGCAGGCATTTGGGAAGTAAATCAGCAGATGGGAGATTCTCTCTCTCTCTCTCTCTCTTTCTCTCTCTGCCTTTCAAGCAGATGAAAATAAACTTTTTTTTTAAAAAAGATAAGCTTATTTTTGTGGGAAAAATTTAAATCATCATAATAAGCATTTTCATGAGCTGTTTGAAGACCCTCCTCACGTGTGGGGCTTTCAAAAACATTTTGCACCAAAGTAAACTTACCTTTAAATTCTATTTTCCATGAATGTTTTCAGGCGCATGGGTATGTTTTGGCTATGTCTTCCGTTTCCTGCCACCATCTGACTCCGGCCCATTTGATAGAGTAGTCCTGCTCAGATTAGGAAAACACTATCCTGTTCTCACTGTAAATCCCTCAACTCCTCTGCCTGGAAACGTGTCTCCAGTTGTGTCATTCCCCTGCTTGCGAATTCTCAAGGGAGCTCCTAGATCCTTACCTTCCTATCTTCCAGCTCTGAAATTTGTTATTTCAAATATAGGTGTGTGTTTTCTATTCTTTTTTAAAAATAATTTAATTGTGGGGAGGGGGAGAGCACCAGATAGACAGCCAGAGCTCCCGTTTGCTGGTTCACTTCCCAAGTGCTCACAACAGCTGGGACTGGGCTGGGCTGCAGCCAGGAGCCAGGAACTCAGTGCAGGTCTCCCACAAGGGTGGCGAGGCCTTGGACCATCACCACCGCCTCCCATGGTCTAGGAGAAAACTGGAGTGAGGACTTGGAGCTGGGTACTGAACGCAGGCACTGTCACAGAGGTCTTGGGCATCTTAACCACAAGGCCTAAGATGCACCCCCAACTTTCCTGTTCTTCCAGCACACTCGGTACAGCCCTGTGTGCACCACACTACACTGTCTACACACAGCAGCTCTCCACCCAAGCTTCCTGGCTAGAATCCTGGTCCCATTATTCACTATCTTACTCCTCTGCTTCCTCACTACGAGGATCACAACAGCACCTACTTTCCAGGGTTTCAGATGATTACATGAGATATGCACATGTTCTTCCAAAAATTTGGGGAAAAACAAAATTAAAAGGTTAATTCTGGTGCAAAAGTATTTCCAAATCCATGCCAAGTTTTTCCACAATACAGTTTCCATGCATTTTTGCACACGCCTTGTGTATACATGATAATCAACCCTGCTGCCTCTTTCAAGGATCATTACAATCCACCTCTTGTGTGAAGCCTTTTATCATGTCCAACTCAAAGAAATTTCTTCCTCTTTTTGTACTTCTCTGAGTAGCATTTGACATATAGTGCCCTGAGACTACGGAATGTATGCATGTATTTTTGGTCTCACTTGGGCTATAAACTGATTAAGGTTGAGGACGTTCTATTCATCACTGTATACACTGCGGGACCTTGCGGAGCACCTGGCACACCAAAGGGGTGTACTAAATACTGGCTAAACGGGAAAAAAAAAAAAAAAGAATGGAGTTCACTGTTTTAAAAACTGGCTCCACAAATTGGGCGGGAAACACAGCACAAAGATAAGGAAACGAAATGAACAGCTGAACAGCTCGGCCACACGGACGTGACTGGTCAAAGGCACCGACTAGATGTCGTTAGGACCTTGACCTGCCTGCTAACTTGCCTTATTCCATGTTCCCCACTGCAGGTCTGCGTGGTGGCCTATCTTGGCTTGTTTATGCTTTGTGTCTCGTACCAAGTTGATGAACGGACGTGTATCCAGTTTTCTATGAAAGTAAGTTGTGATTTTTTCTTTCTCTTTCATCACTGCATAGAAAGAAACTCGAGTACAAAATAAAGGAGTGCTTTCTAAGGGGTTGTATGCTCATATCTGATGAGTCTAGAAATTGCATTTTTAAGGCAGGCCAAAAAATGTTTTATGAGGGCATGGATCCAGACCCCAAGGTAATACTGGTTTTTTTTTTTTTTTTAAGTCTTCATTTCCGTGGACGGGGTTGGCCCTGGAGCATGTGAAGTGTGTCCTTCGGTGTCCTTAAAAGGAATATTGAGAACTCGACAGTACAACAAAACACTTGGCCAGTGAAAAGTGTCTCTATCAGCACCCACTTCCGTCTCTCCGGGGTTATTTGGAATATTTTAATAATGAAGCAGTCTGAGAGTATTTCCTTTTGTAGGTGGGACCACTGAGACAGAAAAAGTACACTGGGTGCATCCAAACGCCCCGTGCCAGGAATCTCAGGACAAGGGGGGAAGGCCGAGATGCGCATGGCTTGGCAAGCGTGCGTGTCTTTCACTGGCATGTGATTTTTTTCTCTGTAAGCACAGTGCATTTGGTGGGATCCAAGTACGCAGCATTTTCACTACGCAGTAGAATTTATCCCAGAATGAAACCTACATATTCCCTTCCAGAGTTCAAGGATAGAAACACCAAATCCAGCAATCAGAGCTAGGAGAAATCAAATCCCTACATTTTCTCTCAACTATGTGGTAGAAAGAGAATAAAAAGCTTTCTGTGTTATTATTTTTTTGTCCATGCAATCGTTTGCTTTTTTTATATAAGAAAACATAAACAATTGGATATCTGAGGAAGGCACTGTGGCACAGCGGCTTCATCTGCTAATTGGGACACCCACATTCAAGTCCAGTCCCCACTTCCAACCCAGCTTTCTGCTAAAGTGCAAGGGAGGCAGCAGACTGAGTCTCAAATATTTGGGCTTCTGACACCTACGTGGGAGACGTGGATGGAGTTCCTTGCCACTGGCTTTGGTCTGAATAGAACATCCCTAGTTACTGTCAGCACACAAGGAGTGCACCAGGGAGTGGAAGATGGATCTCTGTCTCTCCCTCTGTCCCTCTAGCCTCCAAATAAATGAGTCATTTCTAAAAGACTGGGTACACTGTTGATAACTCCAACAAGAAAACTTAAGAAATAAGAGTAAAAACTTGCCAATATTACTTGGAAATTATCAAGATGAAAAAATAAAACGTGTTAGAATATTCTCAAATCATTGAAGCTATTGACAAAAGAAGTGCTGATCCTTTAAAAAAAATCATGCTGTGAAGAAGTAATTAATGGATTTTTAAAAAAGGTTTATTTATTTGAAAGACAGAGACACGGAGAGGCAGAGGCAGAGAGAGAGAGAGAGAGGTCTTCCATCAACTGGCTCACTCCCCAAATGGCTTCAATGGCTGGGGCTGGGCCAGACTGAAGCCAGGAGCTTCCTCCAGGTTTCACACGCGTGGCCAGGGGCCCAAGGACTTGGGTCATCCTCTTCTGCTCTCCCAGGCCATAGCAGAGAGCTGGATCAGAAGTGGAGCAGCCAGGACCTGAACCAGCTTCACCTACTATGCCACAGCTCCAGCCCCAATTAACAGATTTTAAAAGTTCACATTGTATGAATTAATTTTAAAAGCTGTTGAGATAAAACATATGTACAGAAGAAAAGCTATCTTTTATTGTGTATAGAAGAAATCGTTAGGGCCAGCATTTTAGCATAGCTAGTAAAGCCACTGCTGTGACACCACCATCCCATATGGGCACTGAGTCAAACCCCAGCTGCTCCAGTTCCGAGCGAGCTCCCTGCTAATGGCCTGGGAAAACAGTGGAAGATGGGCCAAGTGCTTGGGCCCCTGACACCCATACGGGAGACCTGGATGAAGCTCCCGACTCCTGGCTTCAGTCTGATGCAGCCGTGGCCATTGTGTTATCTGGAGAGTAAACCAGTAGATGGGAGATCTCTCTCTCTCTGTCTCTCCCCCTCTCTAACTCCCACTTTCAGTAAATAAATACATCTTAAAATAAAAAGAACTAGGGCCGGCGCCGCGGCTCACTAGGCTAATCCTCCGCCTAGCGGCGCCGGCACACCGGGTTCTAGTCCCGGTCGGGGCACCGGATTCTGTCCCGGTTGCCCCTCTTCCAGGCCAGCCCTCTGCTGTGGCCAGAGAGTGCAGTGGAGGATGGCCCAGGTGCTTGGGCCCTGCACCCCATGGGAGACCAGGAAAAGCACCTGGCTCCTGGCTCCTGCCATTGGATCAGCGCGGTGCGCCGGCCGCAGCGCGCCGGCCGCGGCGGCCATTGGAGGGTGAACCAACGGCAAAGGAAGACCTTTCTCTCTGTCTCTCTCTCTCACTGTCCACTCTGCCTGTAAAAAAAATAAATAAATAAAAAAAAAAAATAAAAAGAACTATTTACCTAAGAGTGGTAACAGCTACAGGTTATTTTAAAAAATAGAGTTAGGTTTTGAGTGGATAGGCCTGCATTTGGAGTTTTATTTTTCTGTCTGACGACCTCCTTTAAAAGAAAGTTTAGGGTTTTTTTGCTTGTTGTTGAGCAAGGCTTGGTTAAAAAAGAAAAAATAAAAAGATCTGATGAAGACTTGGTGGAAAAAAAGAAGCCAGAAAACTTGGTAAGAAATGGGCTCTTAAATTACAGGAACTTCATTCAGTTGATGAAAAACACTATAAACTAGATTTTCATCAACTTTCCCCTTTCCCTCCAGCTAACCCCAGTAAACAGCAGAAGCCAAAGCTTCAGAGAGGCTCCAAGCCCACCTCACCATCAGCACCTTGGTTCAAATAAAGAGCAAGAGCAAAAAAAAAAAAAAAAAAAAATAGAAACATAAAAAAAAAATAAAGGGTTGGAAAGAAAGTGGGGCAAAGTCACTGCCAACGGCAGGCTGAGCAGTCCCCACTTGGGAGCTCACACTGGCCGCCGTGTTTCCTCCCTGCGATGCCGCTGACAGATGTGGGGGCTCTGCTCTCGCCGAGCGTGACCCTTCCTGATGCTCTCTGTATCATCTCCAGGCCGGGCATGAGCTCCAGCCAATCTCTGGGCTCTCCACTGCCTCAGGAGGCCACGGCTGACTCCCTCTGTGCTTCCCATGGTATTTCGGGGTTTTGGGGGGCTGCGGATGGATCACATCTTCATAAAGGCCACTCACCAGCGTAACGGCCACTTAGTGTCTCCCAGAGTGACCACCGGCTTCAGCTTTGTCTGGGAGCTCATTCCGGTCCCCTTCAGTTCCCAGAGAGCAAGCACCCTGCCCATGCGACCGTCTGGGCCTTATCTTCTGTGTGCACACATGCACATATATTGTTTTTAAAGATTTATTTTTTGAGATTTATTTTTATTAGTAAAGGTCTATTTTTATTTCTTTCTGAAAGGGAGAGAGAGATTCTCCATCCGTTGGCTCACTCCCAAATGGCCTCATTGTCTGGGGCTGGACCCAGCCAAAGCTAGGAATCTGGAACTCCAGTGGGGTCTCCTACCTGGGTGGCAGGGGCCCAGGCACTTGGGCCATCTTCCTCTGCCTTTCCTGGTGCATTAGCAGGGAGCTCAGGGGAAGCAGAGCACCCAGGACTTGAAGCAGTCCTCATAGGTGATGCGGTATCACAGGCGGCATCTCAGCTCGGTGCACCACACACTGATGTTAGTGCACATGTGTGGTTTTGCTGGCTTCTAGCATGTTGAAGAGGCTCAGTTACAACTAGCAGTCGCTGTGTTTGTGTATGTGTTTACATCCTTCCTACTAGCCAAACACCTCTCACTACTCCCCCACGTCCACGAATAAGACACAGCTGGCAGGGCTGATGTCCTGAGAATTAGCATTCTTCCCATGTCTACTAACTTGTTTATTTCACAAATATTTAATTGGGGCTACTGTGTCCCCGACGCTGTTCTAAGCCCTGAACAGATACCACCTCTTTCGATGCTACAAAGTAGGTGCCTTTCTGATCGGCACTTCAGGTTTCCCGATGCAGAAATACAGGTGCACATGGATCGATCGATTTGCCCAAGGACCTTGACTAGTGAGGGGAGAAGCAGGTGCTCACCCAGGCAGCTGGGCTCCCTGGTTCATGCTCTTAACCATCACACAGTACCTCTGTGCACTTGTGAAATGGCCTGAAACGGCCTTGTGCAAATCTTTTCATCTCTTAGCCTAAAGGTCATCCCTTTAAAAATAGACAAAATTCCCATTTCAGCCAATGGGCTTTTCCCATATGAACGTTGCAGAAATCTGCTTGCTACAAATGTGTTTGTGTGTAGAACTGGAAGTAGCAGGGACAGTACAGGAAATCTCTCTCTCCTGTTCACATTCACTGGTGACAAAGCGTGCAGGGGGCCCAGGCGGGAAAGTATCACTTTAACATGGGCCTTCCTTGTTGGCGTCATGGTTGTACTGATGTTCCCAGAGCAGAGAGTCCCCTGCTCTCCGTGGGCTACAACAGAGATGCACGCAGTGGGTGTAGGCACACAGCATGGCCAGCACAATTTGGCTGTTGGCACCAAGGGCTTGACTAAATCATCAAGCCTCAATATTCTAGAACAACCCGGAATATTTCGAATATTCTGTCCCATCAGCCCTGCAAAATAACCCCCTCTTTTTTTTTAAACCAGTATAAACACTCCAGTTTTTGTTTGTTTGTTTGTTTGTTTGTTTGTTTTGATAGGCAGAGTGGACAGTGAGAGAGAGAGACAGAGAGAAAGGTCTTCCTTTTGCCATTGGTTCACCCTCCAATGGCCACCACGGTCGGCGCGCTGTGTTGATCCGAAGCCAGGAGCCAGGTGCTTCTCCTGGTCTCCCATGCGGGTGCAGGGCCCAAGGACTTGGGCCATCCTCCACTGCACTCCTGGGCCATAGCAGAGAGCTGGCCTGGAAGAAGGGCAACCGGGACAGAATCCGGCGCCCCGACCAGGACTAGAACCCGGTGTGCCGGTGCCGCAGGTGGAGGATTAGCCTACTGAGCCACGGTGCCAGCCTTAAACACTCCAGTTTTACATAAAATGTAATCGGAATATATTAGAGACAACATCAAGGCACTGCCTCAGTATCACAAATTAAATTTTCCTTTAACATTTTATATTTCTTGGGCAAGAGTTGGCACTACAGTTAAGACACCACTTGGGGCCTCTGCATGCCACAGTGCAGTCCCAGCTACACTTCCAAGTCCAGCTTCTTGCTACTGCACACCCTGGGAGGCAGCAGATGATGGCTCAAGTACTAGGGTTCCTACCACCCATGTGGGAGACCTGGAATGAGTTCCTGGCTCCTGGATTTGACCTGGCCTGCCATTGGATGGCTGTTGTGGGCATTTGCGGGAGTGAACCAGTGGTTGGGAGACCTCTGGGTGATATTTAAAAAGAGCAAATAAAAAAAAAAGAAAGCCTTAATAATGCTGCCACTTTTATCCGTCTGGTTCTCTGGTTCCACAATATTACACATGTTGGGTGTGAGCTGCTCTTGGGGTCGTGAGATACACCACATTTCTATAAACTGCTTCACAGATAGAGAAACACAGGTCATCTCTGAAAATCCTTCCAGTTATCTGAAAAACCGTGTGTGTGTGTGTGTGTGTGTGTGTGTGTGTTTTCAAAGTAGCATTGTGAGAAGGTCCACAGATCCCCTCCACTGCCTTGGTAAAGACGTATTAAGATGTATTAAAACACAAATGGCTTTGACTAATTCCATGCTCTCCCAGAGACCCAGACACACGGCACAGGTGCATACGATTCTGCAGGCTCCCTCACAGGCAAATCAGACACTGCCTGGGGCACAGCACCCTCCTCCCCACTCTGAGGGAAGAGAAACAAAATTTTAAGTATTTCACATTGAACACTTAAAGTTGTCATTGTGTGAAAATCACTCATTTGGAGGACTTGCATTCACATATTTCATAGTTTCTTACATACGTTTTGATTTTTGAATTACATATAATTGGAAGTGGGAAGACAGCATATTCTTGGCTTGAGCTACTTTGATCTGAACTTGGCAATGACTGGAACTAATCTTACTTTAGGGAGTTTTCACTCAACAGAATTGTTCCTTGTAAAGAGGAACTTAAAATATTTTTAGAAAAAAAAATATTTGAGAGGTAGAGTCAGAGAGAGAGAGAGAGAGAGAAACAAGTGAGTGAGTGCAGTTCTATCCACTGGTTCACTCCCCACATGCTCACATTAGCCACAGCGGGGCTAGCCAAAGCCAGGAGCCAGGGACGGAATCCAGGGCTCCCACATGGGTGGCATGAACCCACCACTTGAACCCGCTGCTGCCTCCCAGGGTGCACATTAGCAGGAAGCTGGAATTGGGAGCAGAGGCAGGACTCAAACCCAGGCCCTCTGATATGGGATGGGGCTTCTTCACCAGCGGGCTACGCGCTGAGCCCGGGGAGCACCTTGTGACTGTCAGGATACAAATCTTGCACCAAACACAGGGGCCCCTGCCGCTCACCTGGCCCTCAGCAGGAGGACATTGAGAGGAACGTGGCCAGCATGTGAGTCCAACCACAGGAACATTTCTTGTTCTGCACCCTGGACTGCAGTTTGCTCTCATCCATGAGATCGTGGGATCTCTATCAGTTATTTCACGTGTAAGCCGAAGGGCTGAAATGTTTGGCAATTCCGACGTTCTTTAGCGGCACCGAGAGAACTGGGGCCAGACTTTGTCGATCCGCAGCTAACGTGGAGGCCAACGGCACCGAGGACCTGGGTGGCCGAGGGGCCGCTGCTCAGGAACCACGTCTCGGTGCCGTGTACGAGGGCACAGCTCCCGTGTCAGGCGTGCGCTGATTCGCTTCGTGAGTCGGCATCCGTGGTCTTTGTAACCCAGAGAACTTTCCTCCGGCTTTTCTTTCAGCTGCTGTACTTCGTGCTGAGCGCCCTGGGGCTGGTGGTGTGCGTGCTGGCCGTGGCCTTCGCCGCCCACCACTACTCGCTGCTCACGCACCTGACCTGTGAGAACGCCCCCGACTCCTGCCAGTGCAAGCTGCCGTCCTCGGAGCCGCTGAGCCGGACCTTCGTGTACCGGGATGTGACTGACTGTACCAGCATCACGGGCACCTTCCAGGTGTTCCTGCTCGTCCAGATGGTTCTGAACTTGGTCTGTGGCCTTGTGTGCTTGGTGGCCTGCTTTGTGATGTGGAAACACAGGTATCAGGTCTTTTATGTGGGGGTCAGGATGTGCCCCCTGTCGGCTTCCGAAGGCCAGCAGCAGAAGGTGTAGGAATCTTGCTCAGAATTTGGAGAGAAAATGGCACACTGGCTAGCTGAGGTTAAAAAGAAAAATTATTTTTAAGGAGAAAGAGAGAAAACTTTTGCCAATATTTACTGCTCTAAATGAATATTTTTTATATTTTTCAAGAAACAAAAGAGCATTTCTTCAGGTTTCTATTGTATTTTTAAACATTCGTATAGGTTCAACAAGATACACATTGATTTGCGGGATATTCAAAGTCAAAAGCACACCAAACTGGGAAGCAATGGCACAGAACTGTCCTCACAGTCTGGGGTTTACTCTTCATGCTCACTTTCGCCACCACTGACGTACGGCTTTCTGGTTAATACGGTCTAAGGTTTGTAGTGGCTGCCCCAGGTCCTTCCCGCCTCCTACCACAATCCCCCACTGCGTCTTAGAGAAAGGCAAGGTGTGGAGAAGTCACTGGGCAACCAGGTGGAATCTCTTCATTTCCCCTACTGCGGATGTTGTCAAGGCCCAAAACATGAGCGAACTTCAAAAACCTCATGGGAAGTGGAGTTCGAAGTTTATTTTGCTGCCAAAAAATTAAGATCCACACATATATAGGGATCTTCAGAAAGTTCACAGAAAATGCATAATATGGGGAAAAAAAAGATTCACGGATTTCAGAATTTTGTTTGGACCAAACTAAAGTTATCTTTTAATGCCATTTCTGAAGTGCCCTCATAGCTTGGAAAGCCAAGCAGAAAAGAGGCTTTGCAAAAATACAAGTAATTATAAACACCTGGGCCAGGGCGGCTGTCTCAGCTGCCTTCGCTTGGCTCTGTACGTAGATCACTCGCGCGGGGCTTGGCAGGGCTCTCTGCTTCTCAATAATTGAAATATGGTGGTAGTTGTATTCTTAATGATGTAGAAGGTTTAAAAATAATTACATTACGCTTCCATTCTATCATCTACAACAAATCATTCAACCTAATTTCTAGCTAATTGTTAATTATAATTATGCTCAGAAGTCTATTTAATGAGCTCTGGCTGTACTTAGGCAGCTCTGCCAGTGTAAAGAGAAATTATTCTCGTAAGAGAAGAGGCCTAAAGATTCTTTCTTCTGAAAGTCAAGCGTTATAAGGGAAAACTTTTTTTTTAATTAATAGCTCAGGATAAAAACACCAATTTAAACAAAAACAAGAGCATTTATAATAGGAAGTACTTGTACAAATAGCACGTTTGTGGCACATTGCAGAGTGTCTCTCTTTGCAGCTAAATAGCTTTGAAGAAGGCTGGCGAGTGCAGATGTATTCTGTGCACAAAACTGTATTTGGCTCATAACCCTATTATTGATTCGTAGGCACAGTCCAGCCAGCAGCTCACAATTCTGCTTTCAAGTCCTTATTTAAGCACTACGTCCTTTGATTAGAGGGTAGTTTTTGCTTTGTTTTGAAGTGGCGTGACTTCAAGCCCAAGTCCCCTGTGATGGGAAACTCCTGAACAATATCGATGTACAAAAGGAGCTCAAAACAGAATTTCCTGCAGTTTCAATGTTGTCAAGAACTTTCTCTATCAGTGTACTCAACTGAAAGCAGAAATCCAAGACAGCAGTTGGGCTGCCTCTGCCTCTCCGCACTGCCCATCGATACACTTTGCTAACAGTGAAATTCTGTAGTTAAGAGAAAGGCATTTTCTTGTTTGCCCTGGAAGGCAGATGAGTGATTCCGCTGATGGTGATAGTGGTGCCAATCTGTACACCACAGAACTCTCCAAACTGAAAGCAAAATGGTCAGTCGGTCAGCTGGGGGACTGCACGTACCTTGCATGTCTTCCAGGTTAAGGACTTGATTAACAAATGTCACAGCCTTCCTAGGCTGTGACTTGTTGATTGGCAGCTCAGCAGATCAGCTCTGGAGTAGGAATGATCACACCCAGAAACTCCATCGACAGGACACCATGCCTCCTGGTGAGGACCCAAAAATGCTTTGTGCCAATCACTGAATCCATTCAGCTCTCTGAGGAGTTTCCTACGTAAGAAGAATATGAGAGAGAGTAAGCCATGTTGCAGGCTGTCCCCCAAAGAGTAGGAAAGCAGAGTTTTAATGCTGGCTACCAGAAGCACATCCTTAACACTTTCAACCTACAGCTTTTTATAACGGACACTGCAGGTTTTTAACATGAGAAAATCAAAGACTCCCCCCACCCTTATGGTGCTCTATGCTTTCCAAGTGATTCACAGAATATTTCAAATGGTAGAATAATTTTAACTGATAGGCTTCTGTTTTCCAAGGAATGCCACCAATAAGAGCTGACTTTGATGTTAGTATAATAGAGTATGGGGTTTTGCTATTGATTGATAGAATTATCCTTGAATCACCAAAGAGAGAGAGAGAAAAGGATTATAAATGGATGGAAGGAACAAGAAAGAAAGAAGGAAGGAAGAGAGGAAGGAAGGGAGGAAGGAAGGGAGGAAGGGAGAAAATCGTCCTTTGCTGCAAGCTCCTGGTAAACTGACATGTGTAAGAGTTGGGTTTCATGAATAACAAACTGCTTTGGGCTGGATTTGAAGTATTCTGATGTTATGTTTTGCAAATATTGAAGTTACAATAACGACAACAGAAAAGGAACAGACACACAGCTTTACACTTAGCAAAATGTTACATTTAAAACCTGACAAGGAGCCAAGATGGTGAGTGTCTCCCCCAAACCATAACACAGTCAGAATTGCGCAATCCTCCTCCTCTCCCACCGCCTTCGGGAGAAGTAAGTGAATCAAGGCTCTGGAAGGCGGAGGAACAGCCGGGACTTGGCAGCGCTTGAAATGGGAGGAATACAGCAGCCCAAATGTACAGACTTTGCAAGAGAGCGGCCCGATCGGGCTGTGCTCTCACGTGACAGCCATCTGTACCTCCCTGGCTCGGTCCAAACGTGCGTAGGCCGCTCCTTGGAGCCAGGCCTAAAAATATAGCTGCACCAGGGCCCTAGAAACTGTAGTCAAGTAACAGGCCAAACTTCCCCCCTTTTTGGATGAGAAATGTGTATGCTCTCTTCTGAGACTTTTCCAGCTGCACACATCTGTGTATTGTTCTGACAGGGAGGACCCGTTATATATGTGTTTTCCTTTCATGTCCAGCACATGAGAGTCTTTTCATGTTCTTGCATGCAGCATCTCTGGAAAATGTTGATCGACTTTTAGTGACGGGTGGGATGGAGGGTGATGGGGGGGACGCTGAGGACAGCGGCACCGTGTTATTGAGGGAAAATCGCAGAAATGAGCTTGGACGTCGCCTTGCAGAACCAATCACGTCCCGTCACAAAACAGACTTTCACATCGTCTAGCGACTGCTCAGAACTACTGCTACGTAGCCATACATTTCTGTAAATCGGGCTGGCTAGCATTCCTCACCAGACTCAAAACTCTATCTAATGTTTTAGATGACACCGTGTCCAGGGTAGCGTTCAAAAGAACTGATGGCCAGATATTTTGACCACAGTGGAAACATTCGTTTGGATGAAGACTTCGTGGTTTAGCCTTTGAAATGGATACCCTGGTTCACGTCTTCTGATTTTCTAGTACTCTATTATCTTGAATGGCGATTCTCCCCCTCGAAACTGTTGGTCGGGATTTTGGTGTTGTGGTTCCATCTCTCTGGCATTGATCAACTAGCGAGGGGAAAACAAAGTATTTTGACATGTTTGAGGTGGTTGTGTTTCAAGAGGATGTGGATAGCGCAGATTTTATTAATAAAATACTTGTAATCCCTGAAAACACGGTGTTTGGATGTGCTTTCAAGTGACTGTGCGTTGTGCATGAAATATCTCAGGTGGGTGTTTACTTCAAACATCTGATTTTGGAATAGACAAGAACTCAGTCATTCAGGCTCCTCTGTGGTTCCAGCCCCTATTTCTATGTTCATTCTGAAACCATCATAGAAGACCACGGTGGCAACTGCTGAGCAGGCAAAAAAATTTTCGAGCTGGAAAAATCACGTGCGTGATACCTGGAAGGCGGGGCTGTGATTTGTATCTGTTAATGTCAAATAAAGCATGGCCCAAAGAAAGGATGCCCGTTGGGTGCTCCACATTCAATCCTGTTCTACAACTGATTATACGGAAAAACACAAAGCCTTTCCCATCTCCAGCCTGAATTCCAGGCCCTCTTCTTCCCAACTCTGAGGCACTTTAGATCATTCATTATACTCGAAAATGCAGTGGTTGTTTCTGTTTCATTAGAAGAGCTTGTGGAAGACAGAAGAAAGCGGTCATGATTCCACACACGTGCTCTGAGCTGGACTTCCCACCCTCGGTGCTGAGGGTGCAGGTCCTCCTGGGTCTGGAAGTCTGGCTGTGTGAATTTGGGTCAGACCATTCAGCCTGCAGTGATAGGCGATCCGCAGAGAAAAACAGAGCTGCTCTGAGCATCACGGGCGAGGTAGTGCTCCGCAGAGCAATGGGCTCAGAGAAGGGGCTTAGTGCGTGTCGGTTTCTTCCTTCCTTCCAGCGTGTTCTGTGTAGCCTGTGACCCGATCCTCACGGTGCAGGCAGCTGTCCTCTCATCGCTCTAGAATACTAGCTCTGCTTTGCTGTCTCCTTCTGAGACTTTCTTTTCTTAAACCAGAAACATCATGCAAGGGGCCTCACACAGAGATCCTGCATTTACAATTAGATAGGCCCAAGTGTTGTTGCCAGACATTCAGTACATGGAATTATGTGCAGGTGGGATCCCTCCTGGTTGATCTGTACATGTGGTGGTGTTTGAATGGGGCCATTTTGTCAGTTCTTTTTCCAGGCAGAAGTAGAACCCAAGGCACTTCTGCTTTTCACAAAACTTCTAATTTCCTATCATAGAAGCATGTTTAACCCAAACTTTTAAAAACAAATCTTTACTGAGCGTTTATACACTGTCAGTCCACTGCCTATTAGGCTGTAATGTACAGTCCAACATTTGTTTAACACCAACCACCTCTGATAGACTTGACTCTGTGGGTCATTAATTCTCATTCAAGAATCCATAAAAGGTTTTCTCTCTTGAGTGAAGTCAGAAAATACCTAACGGAGCTCCATTCTCCAATCTGGACATAAACACATCAGTCATAGATTTTTACATTTACATTAAATTGAATTATTGAAATTTTACAGCCAGTCACCTGCTTTTTCCCTTGACATATTCTCTCAATCTTCATAGGTCATGAGAAGTTATTATTTTTTATGTGTCACCTCTGTGTCTTTTAATAAGCCTTTAAGACATGTAGGACTAACATGAGACACTATATTACTGTTTTAAAAATTCTGATTATAGTTAGGAGAAAATAAAACTACCAGGTGGGAATGCCAGCTTGGAAACAACTCATTCACTTCTTTCCAACAAATATGTACCTATGCTTACTGATCCTTTCCAAAGCTCGGGTGCACACAGGGAGTCTGCTTTGCTGAAGAAGGTGTGAAGGAAGATCTGTTAATCAAAGGAATGGGGGCCATACACACAGACCCTAACCCTAACCCTAACCCTAACCCCTAACCCTAACCCCTAACCCCTAACCCTAACCCCTAACCCTAACCCTAACCCTAACCCTAACCCTACAGCAGAAATCTAATACACAGATTTCAGCTGAGATACGCAGTCTGCCATTTGGCAAGGTGCTCTCTGCAGTGAGGGGACAAGGGCACTTGCGGTTTCCTGCAGGACACACAGGCTGATACTGCTGCTTCCACAAGGAAGCTGTCAGAGAGGGAGGCAGGGGCTCAGGCCCACCGGATGCTGCCTGGAACTGTGGAGGAGGCCTGGATACCTTCGGACAAGGGGACGGCACCGGGAGACGCCGGTGGCCATGTTGGAGCTCCCAAACCTGGAGACTCTGGGCCACCTCTTCTTCTGGACGGGACGTGACTTCCACCCAGACCCTGCTCCTCCGACACCTCACTGTGCAGCCTTTGCCCAGCCCCGCGTGGCTGCAGAGAGCAAAGCCCTCCCAACAACCGCAGGGCATGGGACGCTGTGACCAAGCAAGCGACGGCAAGCTTGTGAGGTCTGCCCCCAGTCGGTCTCCCTCCAGCTTCCTACACACAGGACCATTTGACCACTGGCTCCCCAGGGCTGTGCCAGCCACAGTGAATTGTCAAAAACACAGGAGTCAGTGTGCAAAGTGTGTGACTGAACTTGTCACGAACCTCAGGGGTCTGGAAGGCTTTCACTCCGGATCGAATTTAAGGACTCAGAAAGCGGGCAGTGTGGCTTCAGATGCTTTTCCAGCAAGAGTGGACTTGATTCTTTTTTTTTCTCCTGGATTGCAACAAAGTATAAATTTTGAAAACGAGAGAGAGAGAGAGAGAGAGAGAGAGAGAGAGAGCGCGAGCGA